TGGATGGAAGATCTCGAGTACTGCAATAAGAAAGTAAATAAAGACTAGCAAGAAGTGCTGCTGGGCATTATCCTTCCTCATACCTGAAATAAAATTTGCTGGCTCATTGGCTGACAGCAAATTTACTTATTGTTACTTAAGAATTTGAAAATGAAAAAAAAATACATCGCTATTATTTATGCAAAAGGACGTATGTAACAATTTTGTATAATAATTATTTTTGTGCTAAAGGTCACACTTAGTATTCTCCAACTATAATAAATAGTCCGCTACTATAGAAAATAGTATAGGAAAATAAAATATGAAATTATACTAATAAATCATAAAGAATTATTTTTTTATACTCTTTTGTAAAAAACAAAAACACAACTTTTACGTACAACTTTTTGGTCTAAAATTAGTGATATAGACCATTATATTTTTAAAATATACTAGGTAAATAAAATTAAAAAAAAATAATATAAAAATAATAAAAAAAAAAAATATTTTTTTTAAGTATTCTTATGTCCTCCAGTGCTATTATAGATTGAATTTTTAAAAGAATGGTGTCTTGTTTATCGAATTGTATTTAAATTTATGAAAAGACAATTTACACAGAACCCTCCCTTAAACTTATAATGAAATAATAATAATAATAGTAATAAGGCAAACATTTAAAAAATAGGCAAACATTTTTTGTTCAAGATCAATTTCCGGCGAATTCGGGGTTGGATTTTCGGATTTTGGAACCGCGGTTACGATACGTTAGAAAAATTAGCAAGGTTTGTAGGACGCAAAGAATCCAAATACGCCAAGTATTTTTTTTTAATACGCATGCAGTTAATGTTGCTCATAGAATGAGATGGTGAGAGATTAATTTTTAATTTATAATAATGACCCACCTCGTTCCCACAAGCTAGGTGTTATGTAACATAATGAGCCGCCCGACCTTCAAGATGCTCGAGTGCTGTTTCCCATCCCAAGTCTTAACAACCGCAGCAGTTCTTCCTCCTTCATCTTACCATCTCAGATCTGATCGAGTTGGCCTTCTCGCAACTCAGCCAATTTAGAACTAATAATATGCTTATTAATTTATCTCTTCTTATGAAAATATTTTATGGTATAATTAATTAGTTTAGGTTTGATTGGTCACCTTGTAATATAAATATTTAAAGATTGAAAATTCGAATAATAACGAATAAGAAGCCAGTGGTATCCTTAACAGAGCTCATATTTATGATGCTTTGAGAAGATTCCTATATTTAAAACTTTAGAGATGAGTAAGTAGTCGACTGATGAATTATTAGGATGAACAAAATTGTCAAGAGTTTCAGTCAAAATTTCTTTAATGAGTTAGCCGACGTTTCGACCCACATCTTTGGGTCGAAACGTCAGCTAAATCATTAAAGGAATGTTTACAGAAATTGCTTACAATGTTGTTTCTTCTTTTTAGTTTTTTACTTCTACCCAATAACAAACGTGACTTACTTAGCAATACAAATTGTTTTTAAATGAAATCATCTTTAGGCGCGTTTTGCACTTTTTGTGTGGAGTGAATTTCGTTCGGTATTAACGCTCGGGTAAAGTCAGCTAAAGTAGACTAATTATTTTTTTTTATTATTATTTTTTTTTTTAGTATCACAACAATCTGCCATATGAACACTAGTCATAGTGAGGTAGGATAACATTCAAACTATATGTACAAAAAATATAAAATAAATAGAAGCAAAATAACGTAAACTAACGACTAATTAAAATATTTTTACATATGGATTAAAATATCTACGAAACTATTAATCGGGCCTGCATACTGTAAGTAACAGAAATGCTCAGCATTTTATCCTTTCGGTAATGCTCTATTATTTAAAATTATACGCCTTAACCCTAAATAAGTAATAGTTGCCATCAAACTGAAGACGCCTTCCGTCGAATAATTTTTTTTATTTCGAATGTCGTTCAATTAATCATGTTCACATGGAGATAAGAAAAATTAATATTTCAGCATTTAATCCTCTTTGTAAGAGGCTATAATTCAAAATTGTATCATAACGCGACGCTGTGTTAGGGAAGCGAAAATGAAAATATAGTATCGAAAACCAAATGATACGAGATATGGATTAAAATATTTCAGATACTTTTTTTAGCTTTAATGTTTTATTCACACCTGTCATAATGGTAATGACAACCAGTGAATGTGAGATTCAGATACTTAAATTCGAATCTGGATAGTGTAAACCATAGAATTGTTCAGCATTTCATCCTCTTTATAATGAGCTATTATTTATAATTTATATTTCATATTAATAATTTCGCCTTGTTGATGTTTTCACTTATATCGTGTGGTCTAAAGCACACACCTTTTGTTTTTTTATGTACTGGTTTTCTGATGATTTGTATAAAACTTCTTTGTGCCTCATGAAGTATATTGTTGATTATGTAAGATTATAACCCCAAGAATGTATGACTAACAGTAAATTTAATTATTGAATATAATTTTTTTTCTATTAATTACCTACAAGCTAATCTCCTCTATGAATATTTTAACTCATAGACTGTTGTAACTATAGATCGGATAAGTTCGTTAAGGTTACGAAACGCTTGTCTTATCTCTATTAACTTTTTCTTTTTTTTTTTTTTCATTTTAATTTCCCTCTTCGGCTTCTCATTAAATCTACCCGAGTAGGAACCTTTCATTAAAACATTATGATCCGACACTCCAGTCTGTATTAATAGTCAATCTTTGACCTAAAAACTCATTGAATACGAGGAGATAACTTTGTAGCTAACACAGATTAAAAAATTTATATTGATAGGACCTAGAAAATAAAAAAAAAAAAACCTGACCAGTTAATGCGCAGTTTGGATAAAAGTTAATTACGAATTATACTTGTACCGAAGATGAAGGGATAAGAATATTAGATTACCCGCCGTGGAGGAGTGTCAATAACATTGCCCGGGCCGGGGTTTAGATTACTAATACACTATTATCTGATACGGGTCTTATGCTGTGGATATTATTGCTAATAACAACATGGTTCCACAGCCACAGCCTCCCAAATCCTTAATTAGTCAATCCTAACTCAGGTATAATCAAAGGAAAGGAAAGTTATTATTACAGTCTCCTGTCTTCCTCTCCTATTGTAGTCCCCTGTTTTGTATACATATATTCCTTATGACATATTAAATTATTACCATTAGATGGCTTAATTAACATTGAGGTAAGGTTTCACTGCCCCTTATGGAGGACATAATTGATTTCCAGATTCCCAGAACCTGGAAATCATGGAGATCATGAGTTAGAACAGGAAACATGCAAAATAAGATAATTAAGAAACACCATGTACCGAAATCTACAAATCACTAAATAAAACAGTTTAAAAACATAAATATGCATTCCTTGTGCTGACACACAAAAATTCATGCCATACTTTAAAAAAAAAAAAGGCATTAACTGTTAAAATTTGTCTAATAATAATAATAAAAAATATAATCCGTGGTAAAGACCCCCTTTTTGTCAAATTAATAACATCCGCCTGAAACTTCGTAAAAAGTTTCATCTCATCGTAACCTACAACTATTTTATTTACGAAAACTCTTGGAATTGGGAAGTTTTCAATTCGGAGGAGGACAAACTTTCTCTATTTAATTAGGTACTAAAAACTCGTAAATACCCATTTGCTTTCTACTCAGTTTGACACATAATGTGATCAAGAAAATAGAGAAAAAAGGTGGCCTTCAAAAATACTGATCCGTTTGGCGTAACCTACACCTCCAAAATTTAAAAATAACTAGGTTATACAGGACAACCGGCACAATATTTTTAAGGCCAACTTTTTTATCAATTTTTTGATCAAATTATCTTACGATCCAAGTAAAAAGCAAATGTGTATTTACGAGTTTTAGTATCTTATTAAATCGACAAAGTATGTTCCCCTCCATATTGAAAATAATAGCATAACAATGTGTAAATGATTAGATCCTGTATATTATGTGAGGGAGGAATCAATTGTTTCTCCTTGGTCGATTACAACATTCCATTTAGCATAAACATTTTTTTTTTTAATTGTACAAATTGCTTTGCCTAGGGTCAATTACTAGAAAGATAATATTCAAAATAAAGCCTCTATCAGGGGATTTTCTAAATTATTAAAAAATATGAAAAGTACGTTAAAATAAAAATGTTAAAATAAAAAACAATATTACAATAAAAAAAAATCCCTACTACGGAAAACGAGATAACCTATCCATTCTAAGAGTTATGCCTCCATATCTACTTAAACATCTTGGTAAATTGATTGACTATTCGACCAAGTTTAAATATTCATAGATGTCAATTTTCTTATCAATCTGCCAAGATATTTAAGTAGACCTGTAAGCATTTTTCCTTAGAATGCGCAGATTTCACGTTTTCTGTAGTCTGGTTACTTTTTTTTTTTTTTTTTTTTTTTTGTCTTTTTAAATATGGAGAATCTAATGGTCAGATGACGGCCAATAATAACACAAATCATATTCATTTTAGATTGAATACTATTGATTTATTCAACGCCGACGTTTCTTTTTTATCTCAAACAGTAGCAACTTCTTTATTGACAATTTTTTAATTTATAAAATATCGGGATTCTACATTCCACCAATAAAATTTCTCTAAAAGGTGTTGTATACTAATACTCCTGGGAGGCGGTTGTATGTTGTTTGCCCCATCAGGCATCAAAGGGCTTCCCGGCCCAACAACGGAGGAAGAACTTAATGACTAAGGTGGGGCAAAAACTGCTCGAGTTGAAAGGTCGAAGAGGATCGGGCGCCCCACAACTGACCCGTCTACCTTGAGAGGTGCCTTTCAATTTATTTCACACCACTTATTCTTTTTTTATCGTGTTTTTTTTTTTTATAATCTTCAAACCGTCTTAATCGCATTCAATAATAATTAATATTATTTTTCAAGTATTCATTCAAAACTCTAAATTTTCAATTTATGTACCGAAAATCAAAGAGCTTCGTCTGGCTTGAGACCACCCACACAGAAATTAGTCCCTGAATTAAATGAGAATAAATCAAATGATGACTCAGAGATTTTTTATGAGTCGATTCGTTGTAAAAGTGAAAAACGAAAAATAATACATGATATCCTGATATAAGCTGAGTTTTAAAATTTCGAATATCACTTCATTTTTTTTTTTTATAATTATAGAGAATGTATTTAATGTAAAAAAAATTCGGCCAATTTAATATTATTTCTTTTCGCACACAGGATCCCTACTTGTAGAAGGCGACCGTTATTCTCAGTGTTGAGATCTGTTTCTGTACCATCGATGGGAGTCGGAAGAAATTCGGTCAGGGGGGAAGATTCAGAGGTATGTTGAATTTTGAAATTTTTGTTGTAGTTTGATGCTTCGAGGATTTGAAATTTGAGACTGAACTTTATTGAAATTGATTAAAACAAACAAAACGAGCTAATGACACGTTAACAAAAATGATATAAGAAGTAGGAGGGAGAAAAAATTCGTTGTTTTTCTTGAGAATCATGACGTTCGGTTGATAAAGAAATCTATTGGGTTTTTTTCTGTGAATAACATGAATATGAGAACAATAAATTTTTGAAATGTAACAAAAATACAGCTTATTTATTGACTAAACCTCAAGATTCTCAGAAAATATTTTATTAGCTTTTGAGAAAATAAAAACTGATTTAAACATACACACGAGTATCACCACTACAACCCATGATGGGTATTGGATTCAGTACAGTGGGCCAGAATCACGCCTCAATCGCCAGTTTATTCCTATTTAATTAATTATTTAATTGAGAGTCGCTCACTTTATATAGGCTGGGTGCGCCCCAATAGGGTCTCCCGACCCCATGGTCTATCCACGACTAATGAAATTTATGTGTGTGTATTTTACATAAAGTTCGTGTTGAAAAAAAAATAAAAAATTATTTTCATGTAGATCAAAAATTCTTTATTTATCAGGATCATGTTTGTACATAAAGATAAATTTGACCAATTAACTATATTATTGCGTTTTTATCAGTTATATTAAAAAACAAATATATTTATAAATATGTTATTTCACAATATTACCTACTCGAAATTCCCAATTAATAAACAAAACGTATCGATGATTATTGCTTCTATTGAGATAGAGTAATATAATACTAGGTCCTATCATTAAAATTTCTTTTTTCGTTCAACAAAAAAATTCAAATTTGCATGGGAGTTAAGTTCTGTTATAAACTGCTTCTTTTTAAAGAATATTATTCTTTCGAAAATAATGTAAGAATATTATTCTTTGACAAGACTTTCCGGAAAATGTAAAAAGGGGGTATTGTATTGGTTTATTTTTATTTTGTCTGTATGAAGAAATGACGTACAAAACTGAGAATAGAAAAGTGCACTTTTCAAAATTTGATTTCGTACAGATATAGGGTATTACTTTCTCGTAATTATTTACCTTCGATTGATTGATCCTCGAACGATCAACGCGTCGCTTAATCAATTTTTTTTTTATTGTTAGACAATTTTTATTTATATATGAAGAATATTCCCATACTCTTAGCGTTAGATGCTTTTTAATAGAAGTTAGAATTTTTATGATACGGTGTAATCATTGAATTTTATGTGTGTGCAATATAATCTATATATAATATATAAAACACTTGCTTTCCAGCTACTAAATTTATGCACAGTGCCAAAAAAAATAAATTTTTATCCAAAATTAAATCCTGCTGAATCCGCTGATCAAGGAAACGTATCATTTTTGTTAGTCTACTCCTAATGGACGGATGAATTTTCGAAGAATGCGGCATGATTATTTGTATATTTGTTTGTTGACTTAATTTTAATTTTATATTCAAGGAATTTAGTTTATATTAATGTACAAGCTTTTTTTTTTAACTTGCCAACTCCTGCATTATCATAGCCATGACCATATTACTATAACGATAATACCTTAACTACGGAAGTTGTAAATTCTATTTTTTTAAATGAAATGTTGAATTCATACCTTTCGTTTTTTTTTTTTTTTAATTTATTGTTTGTTATATAGGTTCAGAAATTAACGCTTACGTTAATATAAATAAAATAAAATAAAAATAGCAATAGCGTATAGAAATAAAGATAAAAAAGAGAATGGTATAAAAAATAAATGCTTGAAATAAATCGGTAAAGTGGGCGAGAGACGGTTTAAAAGGTGTGTTTAAAGGAGGGGAGGGTTACTGGGTTAGGGAAGTGTTTCTCTTAACAAGCCTAACCCTCAACCCCACCCCGCCTTTTTTGTCCTTCTCTTCCGTCTACACCTTTATCTTCTTGTCTTTTGTAGGTCTTCTTTTTAAAGGCCACAATTAGCTATATAGCGCCTCGCAGCAAATTGACCAAACACTTTTTGATGTGATTTGGATTCAGCGGATTTAGGATTTAATGCTTTAGCACTTTAGTCATAAAGCGTTTTTAAAAAAATTAAATGATATAATAATCGCTAATAAAACGGTGATTAATTTGAAAGAATAATAATAAAAATTTTGGACAGGTTGGACTTTGAATGTAAATAATAAGATTTCTTGTTGATTTAAAGGTTTCCGTTTTTTCCTAGATTGAAGAACCAAAGAAGAACAAATCGAAAACTGTATGAACAAAGTTCCCAAAAGAAAATTTTAAAATACCTATCATTTTGGATTTTTATAGTGCTCTTGAGATCAGTATGTTTCGTACCTTCCTTCTAACCGTTTTGCTAAGAGTAAGTTGAATATTTATCTTATCTTATCTTTATAGTTAAATAAAGATTATAGAATTTTTCTGAGGTATGTCCATTACTGGTACCGACCCCCTGTTCATTACCAGAACAATTGAATTTCGGAGTGTCCATCAATAGTGCAGAAAGCTGTTTTTTGGGTGTTTTTTTTTAATGGACATTATACCTGCATAACTGAATATTTTTTTCTATTTTAAATAGAAAAAGGAGTGCATAGAGATTCTGAACGTCGAACGGATAAGTTTATAGCCATAATTGTTATAGCGACATAAGCCAAAAAAGATAAAAAAATTCCTTTGCTAAGTGCATCACTGATGCGCTTACCCTAATTATGTGAATGAAATGATGTTTAAGTGATTCTTGAAACCCTTTAATCTTTAAACTTTTTTTTCCATAGAAACTCTAAAACTTGGCACCTAGACTTTGGGGATGGCGATCCGTATATTTATATAATTGAGGATACTTGGGGTCTAGGTTTCCAATAAAAACAAGCAATTATTCGAAATGATCAAATAATAATTCTTTTATGTGATATTGTAAAAAAAACAAATAATAAGAATAAATAAAAAAATTATAAGCTAAGTTTAGATATATTATTTGATTATTTCTTTAACTTAATTAGGCTCTATTTAATTAATGAACATATTTAATTATTTTTGTTTAATTATGAAGTAACATTTGAGTAAAATAATCAGAACATTTTAATGTGTGGTACAAAATCTTGAAGTGTTAATTAATATATTCAACCTTCTATGCTATATTTTATGAAAATTCGAGATATTTCATTCAACATCTGTTGTTGATGCTAACTATTGTGAAGAAATAGTTTAGTATATTATTTCTATATAAGCTCTTATACTTCTGAAAATAATAACTTTTCCAGTTAAGTACATCTGGGAGCTTTCTGGATAATATTTGATCTATGTTTTTATCATTAACTGGAAGGCTGTTTAAAACTTTCTAAATTATTTTAATAGCCATGTCATAGGAATTTTTTTTTCTTTGGGGTTTGATTTGATTTTTTTTTTCCTCAATCTTTTTAGCAATATTCGTATTTAATTTTATGATTTAGTTAACGATAGTATTTTTTTTTTTTTTCTACAAATAGAACGTGTTAGAAAGTCCAATTCTCATACTCTTAACGTTAGAGGCCGCTCAACTCTTTTTGATAGAAGTTAGAATTTTTATGATACGGTGTAATAAGTGAATTTTATGCGTGTGTAATATATTTCATTAGTACTTTTGTATGACGACATCAGAAAAACTAAAGCAGAGACAAATAATAAAAACAAAATATTATTTCATCTAAAATATATTTTAGGTTGCTAAAAAAAAAAAAGAAGAAAACGTAGCCAGCATTGAGATTATATATATATATGGAAAATAAGTAAACTGCAAAAACCTGTTTAAATTTTATAACGTTTTATGAATATTTAAAATTATAATAAAATGAATTCCCACTCGACTATTTATTTATTTATTTTTTAATCAAATGTCTCATTAATTATACCATTTTTAAAATGAACGATGGCTCCTGAATGTCAAGCCCGTCTTATATATTATTCATGATCAGAACGCCTTCATTTTGTATTATTATTTTTTAAATATTTGTATTGAGTGAGAGAGTGGGCGCTCCCGGATTCTGAGCTGTCCGTTAATGATTTGTACCTGTAATTATGGGATTAATTATAATAATTCTGAAGTAATAGGTAAAATGCTAATTGCTACTGGTTAGAAAATGTTTTTTTTTTTTTTGTTCCATATTATAAATTATGAACTTATCAATTTGATATTTTGTATTCAGTAGACGTTTTTTACTCTGTATGAATCATTTTATTTCTCATCGGAAAAGTATCATAAAATTACCTTGTAATGAAAAATTAACCGTAAAATCTTACATTCTCTACTTATTTTATATGATGTAAAACTCATTATTTAATGAAGTGTTTTTGTTCTCTTTTTATCGATTTCTATCGCGTTATGTACAAAAGAGAATATTGTAATCTTTGGCGTTAAAAGGAGATAACTTCTTTCATATTAGGAAGGTTTGGACTTAAATGTACTATTTAGGAGAAAAAAAAATCTTTCGTTTAGTATCATAAATTTATAGCTCCAACCATCTCGGATCTCCTAAAATAAAGGGATTTTAAAATTTAAAAAATATGATTGTTAATTTTCCTTATAAATCAGCATAAATATCTATTGTATTTCACATAAACTTTTAATTATCTTCTTATTATTTTTTTTATAGGAAGCTTCTGTTTATATATTTTTCTAAGGTTAAGGAAAATATACTTCCATTTTTTTAATCTTTTTTAATCACATTTATTACATCTGTCGTTTCGGGACAATTTTCCCATCCTCAGATTTTATAATGTGGCACCAGTTGTCAAAAATTATAATAATTGTCATATCTATTTAAATATAATTTATATATAAATTAAATAGATGTGACAATTATTATAATTTTTGACAACTGGTGCCACATCACAAAATCAAGATAGATAATTATACAATAAATAGAGTAGATTAACAATGTAAAAATAGTTCATTTCATATATATGTAATTTCAGTAAACATAAGGAATTCTTTGGGGATGGGAAAATTGTTCCGAAACGTCAGATGTAATAGACGTGATTAAAAAAGACTAAAGAAAAATGGAAGTAAATATATTTCCCTATATTTAAACAAACATATAAACTTTTAAATAAGTAAAGTATTAGAATAGCTTTTTTATTTGTTTGCCATTACAGATCTATTTTGTAGCAAATAGGAAATAGTTCCGAAAATTCAAGCTTGTGTTCTATCGTCTAGAATTTAAAACTTTGGCTTAAAAGCTGTCCAGATAAGTAGGGGCTGATAAATCGGTTATTTTATATATGACATATGTGATATTTTCATGGTTTAGGGGGGAAACTTAAAAAAACTATATTATAATGAAATATTAAAATACAAAAATCTTCAAAAAAAATTGTGAAATTTTGGGGAAATATAACTGTCATTAGATGCTTAGAAAATATTTTTGAAAATTTTACACTTAATTATTTCTACAGTTAACCATATTTCAATAATATGGTTTCTTTCTCGGTATTTTAATAATATTAACAGTGTAATGGGCGAATAACCTTTCAACCAAAAATTATTAAATAAAATAGTCCGGAGATTCATGCTGCAACAATTACTAAAACCTATACCCGGCTTTTATTATTTAATTTATCATTAAATTCTTTGAACTTTTACAAGGTGTTTTTCAATACCCCAGGTGGAAGTGGGCGAAATGCTGGTTTTGTTTATTGCCTTTTTGATATTTAAATTATATTTTCAGGCAATATTTATATATATAAGTTGTATAAAAGGTTGTGTGGGCTCAGAGGTAGGATTTTGACAATCTGATATAATTTGATACAATTTTCACTGATTGTCCAAAACATGGCAGAGCGGAGTTGATTACTCTACCTCGTGTGGAGTGCAATAAGCGGCGGCTAAATTATATTTTGTGTTTTTACTCAGAGTTAAATTGGAAATAATGAAACGGTATACCCCGAAATTGCGGTTTAAATGATTCCTGATTCCGAAATAAAATCTCTTGCCGAGAGTTCGTTAAGTCAATTCATTCGAGCCCCGGCTCATTAGCCATTAATTGAGACCATTAGGGCACTGTTAATTAGATGTTCGATTATATTTTAACAGGGCCCGGGTTAAATATAATAGCTTCAGCGGCTGCCTTTATTTAAACAAGCACTCTCTCCTGCTTTCGTTCCATGATTTGATTGTTAGTTAATTAAATAGGTCTTTAAAAAATATTTTTTAGTTGATTAGCTATTTAATATTTATTAATCCCTTAAGCTTATCTAATACAAAAAAGACCTAAATAAATATTTTTATTTAAAATCTAATTTTATAGAAAATATTAGCGGGCCTTATTCAAGAAGATAATTAATACTTTCTTTCCATGATTCGATTTTTAGTTAATTACATAGGGCTGTAAAAAATATGTTTTAGATAATTAACTATTGAATATTTATTAATCCCGTGAGTTTACCAATACAAAAAAAAATTGAAAAAATTATCTAATTAGATATTTTTATTTAATGTTAATTAACATGTTTTATAGAAAATATTAGCTGGCCTAATTCTAGAAGAGAATGTTCTTGCTTTCGTTCCGTGACTGGATTGTTAGGTAATTAAATAGGTATTTGATTAAAAATATGCACTATAGCTCTATAAAAAAAATGTTAATGAAATATTTAAAAAAAAAAAATTATTTATCCCGTGAGCTTATATAATAGAAAAGAAAAAAATTTTTTTTTTTTTTATTTTAATGAAATTTACAACTGTACTTCATGAAAAATACAAGTAAATGTGACATTGGTAACATGACATGTACAACATGAAAAGAAACTACCCATTGGTAGAACTCAAATTAAAGTTCTATATTAGTAGGTCCCGAGGCCATCTTCTTTTTAGACGCCTCGGAGGGTTATCAGGAATCGAGGAGGAAGCAAGGTTTGAAACGAGAGGGTTCGGATGGTTCTGCAGTTTATTATGAAAGGATAGGTATCTGGATTGGGCCAAATCGGAAACATATGGAACATTAAAGTCTTTATGGATGATTTTATTTGTGACAAAGTAAGGAGCGTTAAGGATTTTACGAAGGATTTTGGATTGTAAGGATTGGATACGAGAGGAATTCGATGGTTTAGTGGAGCCCCAAACCTCAATTCCGCAAGTCCAAATAGGTCTTATTGTTGTTATATATATATGGGTCGTTTGTAATTGATTGAAAGCTTAGAGCGTTTGCCTAGTAAGTGCTGCAGTAGTCGAAAACGTCGAGCGGTTTCTAGTCATTTCAGTCTAGTATGGAGGTAGAAAAAAATTAAAAATTTAGCTGGCCTTATTCAAGAAGGAAATACTCCAGCTTTTGTCCTATGATTTTTAATTGTTAGTTTTTAAAAAGAAAATTATTAATTAACTATTGAATATATATTTTTTTATGCATGCCGTAAGCTTATTTAGTAAAAAAATATATATAAAAATCGAATTAAATATTTTTATTTAATAAAACTGCGTTAAATACTTAGGACATCAATATATAGCCACTCCTGTTGGTAAACAGGTACAAAGCCTTGTGCATTTCCATAGCCTGATAATGATGGGTTGCTCCAGCCTGTTGCAGTCAATAATTGATGACGGTATTGAATGTGTTGCAGATTGACCGGACGAGTGATGGAGTGATGGCCGAAGGGGAGGCGGAGACTGGCGACGGAATGCTAGCGGTCCACCACAGCCCCCTCGTCAAGAGGGAAGTCGAGCACCAGGACATCACGCAGGTAGGCCGTCCAGAAATATATATATATATATATATATATATATATATATATTTATAGATATATAGATATAATTAGGAACAGCACTGCTAATTAAGTAAGGCGGTATTCACCCATTACTCCAGTCGTAGATCGACGTTGGGGTCGGTAGACCCTCTCAGGGCACACCTACCCACTGTAAAATTGGTAATTTTGATTGAATAATTAAGAGAAAAAACCTAGCGGTTGGATGTGATCTCGGTCAACTTACACATAACCGTTGACTAACAAACTGTTTAATTCCTAACAAACTATTGGACAGTTAAATTACAGCATGATAAAGCATATAGTTTTTACAAAAACGAATATTTCTTTAAAATCAAAATTGTATAATTTAGTCGGTAGCGGGAAAAAAGGAATTTGTCCGAAAAAAATAATTTCAAAGAAATCATGAATGACATAATGTTAATGAATTTTATAGCAATATATGACTTCCAAACTACATCCAACTGTTTCCAAGTAAAATTCAATTTTTCTATTTATTTTATTTTTTTGGAATATTTCAATATATATAAGTTAAAATAAATTGAAAGTCGAATATGGAAAATGTTTGGTTTGATAAGCCTTAATTAGACTTGAAGAAAAACTTGAATATGATATGTAAATGATATCAACGATAGGGCGTTTTTATATTGATTGACACAAATAAAATAAAATGACGAAATTTAATTTTTAAAACAGTTTGAGGTATAGTAACCGAAAATTTTTTTTATCGTTAATATATGATAAATTCTTATTATACATTAGTTAATATATTAGATATAAATATATATATTTCGTTACAACAAAAAATTATCAATAGAAACTCTATTAACGGTAAAAACTTTATAAAAATGGATTCGTTTTATGTTAGCTCTATTGTCTCGTTTTTCGTGCACGTACCGATCGTGATGAAAAAGTGATACAGATCTCTCTTATTATTGACTCATATATAAATCGTTCTGATTCTCAACGGCTCAGGTCTTGATATATTAAAATATTTTAAACTCTAAGACCGCGCTATACTTAAAAAAAAATAATTTAATAGAAACTTAAAATATCAATTATAAATATTTCTAACTTCAGGTGAAGCATATGAGTAAACTCCGAAAATAAATCAACAAAAAATCTGTATATTTTTTATGACAGTGGTAGTTTCTCGATTGTTGTACACATTCACAGAGCTGTGTAATTATTTATCACTTATAATTTTTAAAAATGAAATTGAACAAATCATTAATTTTGCAGTCAAAGTAAAATATGAATCATTGAACAGTAAATATTCGATATCTTATTTTAATAGTTAAATTGAAAAAAATGATAGAACAATTATTTTCACTTCTTGAAATAATTAAATTATGCTGAACTATCCATAAAATTGTTAATTTAAGAATTTGTACTCAAACTTTCAATCGACTATTTTTTATAAATCCGGTAGTGGACCAAATTGTTCACTAAACGATAAGAGTTTGAGACTTTTTAGCTGGCTGACCACTTTCCTATACTGCTTGATACTATTTTAAGGTTGTTATTTTCAAGTTATTAAAAATTAGATGTGCTGTTATCATTCTTATTATAAGAAGGAGAAAAAAAGGAAATGATACAGAGAATATTGAATTTTTATTTTTTATTACAGTAACTTTTTTTTAAATATTTTTTTCTATAAAATATAAATCTTTGAGAGTTAGTTTATTGTTACAATTAATGGGAAATAATAATTATAACGAGATGTTATTTCCATAATAATCAGGCACCCAACTAATCTATCTGTCGATTTCAAGTCTTTAACGTGCACGCCACACATGTGAATTACAATTTCTTATAAATAAGCACTATTTAAATTAATAATATTTAGAATGACTGGAAAATTACATTGTCGCATAAGTATAAACAAAAAAAAAAGTTTAAATTAAATTGTTAAAAGATTTCATCGGTTTCTATTCTCACGTCAAACAACAGTCTGCAAATACTGATGAAATTTACACAAAGAAATATCCAAACCTGTTTATATGTTTATTTTAAATTATCATAATAATGTTAACGCGGATATAGAGGATAATTAGCTGCGGCAATTAGATTTGTATTTGCAAAATATGTGTGTGCACAACGGCTTACGTTATTCTTGACCACACACTCAGCCTAAAATAAACCCACAAGGTTATTAAATGTGACGAGATTGTTAGCACGTCAATGGTATTGCGTCAATATACTATTGACCTTTCAATTGATGGGGTATTATTAATAGCTTAAATTAGGACTGATTCCCTAACTATAGATACAATTGTTTGCTGTAAACTGCTGTTTGTCAAAAAATAAAACGAGGAGCTAGGATCAAAGTGGTAGTGCAACTTTGGACGAAAATATTTGGTTACCTGACACCAATTTAGTCATCCAAAGTACATTTCGAGTTAGTTAAGTTTTGAAGTTAAGGCCTTAGCTAAAGAGTCAAGAGGATTTAGGTGATTAGTGGCATCTACAGTTTTTTTTTTAGACAGCATTTTTATTAAATTATCATCGAACAATAATCTCATGAAATAAAAAAAATTAAATTAAGCAACATGGACTATGGTAAGTACTTGGATGGGTGACCGACTACTGAGTAAAATCACGTTGACCCAGTCCCGACCTCCACTCTGGGAATGTGAGGCTCATAAAGCTATTTGAGGCAACTCACACAGACAAGATGCTGACCTTAAAATACTAGAGGAGTAATCCTTATGACCTTATTCTGAGTACTTTAATCAGGAATCGTGGTGTGGTTTTCCAAGACGTGAATAGCCTCCCAGTAATACGGTCCTAGGACATTCTGGTTCAGAGAAAGAAATACAGGTCCTTGTGCGTCTGCTGACATTGAGCAGCCATAATCCATAGATCTAGACCGATTTGTTAGTCTTGAACTCAAAAGGGTTGACGAGAAGGACTATACCATATTGGCTCCATAATCGGCTATGGAGCTATGGTGCGCTGCTGCTACACGAGTGTAGCTACGTTAGGTTAAGTATGTTAGCCTTCACTAGGCTAAATATGTTCTCGCTTATAAGAACATCACATGGCCTGCAGGACCAACCGAAATTTTAAAAAATAATATGCATAATAAATAAATAAAATAAGCAAAAAAAGTAAAGATATCTTTCTATTAAATACGCCAAAAAAATAAATTTAAACTAAGGAGTCCGTTTCATTGAAACTCCTTGAGGAGGGGAGATCTAATTTCCTTCACCAAGTCGGCCATAAGCGACGACCGCGCTGTCCAGCTGACTGAGATAGCGCAACAGCTGCTACCAGCAACTGACGTACCTACCTTCTGTCTCGTGTCGCTTGTAATTATCTTTGTCATTACAGATAATTTATAAATTAATTATGTGTTAATCAATTAATTATGTCATCATGGATATTAATAAATCACAAGTTTTGAAAATTCCATTGTAAACACCATCAAAAACTAGTAGATTACTTTATTCGTCTGCACAGAATAAAAACTTTATACTTTACTTTCCAAAGGTTTTTATTCGGTACTAAAAAAATAAGGTTTCGAGGCTTAAATAAAGCTAACATATATTAAGCTACTCTACTCTTTTTTTTTTTTAATGATAAATTTTATTAAGAAAAAAAAGTTCTAGTAAAAATATAGACACTTGTAGTACAGTTACAGTAAAATTTAAATTAATCGTCATTACTATAAAATATAACAGAAAAAACAGCTTTTTCAGCTCATGGTGTAAATATTTCAAAGTAAAATATTCATTGGAATTCATAAAAATAATTATGTAACGTGCAGTAAAACAATCCTGCGAAAGCCAACTTTAAAAAAAAAAAAAAATGCTACTTGTATACTTTATTCAAAATGATTTATATAAAAATTAACAGCTGAAATACGAATATTCCAATATAATAATCAATGCTAAGTATTGTAAAGCTCTTAAATGTGTAAAGGCGAGAAAATTATTTACGAAATGTCTGTTAAATATGGCCGCTAGCACTCTCGATTTTAACACAGCCTACGGGTCTGTAAAGTGTTGCTAGGTTCGTAAACGGACGGAGAAGGTTATAATGAGGATGTGTGTGATTCATTGTTCTTTGTGTACAACATACAGAGAAATGGAATGTAAACGCAGCTTTCATCTATGTGTTCATCAAGTTATTTGGCTTCTGAATCTTCATTCTTGCTTTCTTATAAAGCATTTTTAACCAAATAATCCAGCAACTCAATCGTTTCACTTCACTTTGCCATTTTAAAATAAAACAAAACGTTAGTAGATCAATTAAGAACTTACAAACTTTGTGTACAGGCGCATAATATTATTCTAACTAATAACACTTTAGCACAGACAGGTTATTTACTATTCATTAAAAATTTATACTGAGTGGTAGTATGATGCATTAAGCATTTGCCAAAGGTGCATACATACCCTTAGTATGTAAAGTATTGAATATTTCATAAACCTCAATATATCGGATCATAATGAAGAAACATCACGGAACAAGTTGTAAAGCCGCGGCAAGTTGTACAGAGGACAGAAGGGCCCGAAGTTAAGTTGGCTTAGCTTGTTGTTAAGTTGGAAGAGGCGCAAAAAGCCGCGCTGGGACGACATGGGCCGGCTGGCTCCGACTGCTCGCCCGCAGACTTGAGAGGGGACTTAGTCGATCGGCAAACAGGGTTAAGTAGAAACACTAGCCGCTTAAGAGCATTAAGGGAGCTCTTTACCAAATACCGAACCGCTACTAGCAATTATTAGCAACTCCCCTGTTCCTTACCATCTTGTCCGCAATACCATCCGGATAAGATGAGAGAGTTAGAAAACCAAATCAAATCAATCATAATGGAACGCGTTGTTCATTTGTCAGGGACATATGGAAAATGTACTTTAATCACTCAATTTGTCTATGAATAATTAATTTTTTTTTTTGCTTAAACATTTATTTTTACTTGTCAACGTGCATGTTAACAATCAGCAATGTGCTGAAAATACAAGGAATATTTCAGG